CATCTTATTCTTCTCTTATCTTTAAACGTATATATATTTAGCTTTCTTGTTTATATGTCTGTCGTTTTTCAGGGGAGTTTTCACATAGGGCTAACATCTACATCTACATCTATCTTTATTATCCTTAAAACCATGAGTATCACAAGGATGTTAAAAAAAAAAAAATAATAATAATAATAATAATAATAATAATAATAATAATAATAAATAAATAAGTAAAAAAAAAATAATAATAAATAAATAATAATAATAATAAATATAAATAAATAAATATATTATACTATGTGCAATAAAAATGTGTCTACAAATATTTCAGTTAATAAAATTCAGTCCATTCTTAGATAGTTTAACATTAATGTTTTAAATGACTCAGGAGAAGTAGCCTGTACAATCTCTTCTGGAAGGGAGTTCCAGTCTTTCACTGTTCTTGGGAAGAAGCTGTTAATGTAATAATTAGGGCCAGTTGGCATCTGAATATATGATTTAGAATGTTGTTTTCTTGTGGACTTAGTTGGTCTTTGGAGATCATTTGGCAGTGGAATGGCTATGAGATTGTTAACAGCCTTGAAAAACACAGTTAGTCGGTTAGCAGTTCTTCTGGTTTCTAAACTATCCCATCCAAGTTGTTTGATCAGGCCAGTTACGCTGGTGTTATATCTATCATAGCAATTAAGAGCAAAGCGGGCAGCCCTGCGTTGTACACTCTCAATTCTGTGGATGTTATCTTTAGTGTATGGGTCCCAGGCTGCTGAAGCATATTCTAGTTGCGGTCGTACAAGTGATGTATATGCCATAGATTTAACATCTGGGGAGCACTTAACTAGGTTACGTTTGAGAAAATTTAGTTRGTTTGTTGCCTTGGAAGTAATCATATCGATGTGTTTATTCCAACTCAGATTAGTTGATAACTGCACACCTAARTACGGGTGGTCAGAYGATGGTTTCAGCATTGATCCAGTGATGTTATAATTATACTCAATCATAGAGTGAAGCCTGGAAATCCTTAAGATATAGCATTTAGATGGATTGAATGACATCTGCCAGATTTTTGACCACTTTACCAAGCTGTCCAAATCATCCTGCAATACTTGTGTATCCTGTAATGATGTAACTGGACGGTAGAGTAGGCAGTCGTCAGCAAACAATTTAATGTTAGAAGATATTCCATTTCCAATGTCGTTGACATAAAGTAAGAACATCAGGGGGCCCAGTACCGTCCCCTGAGGCACCCCAGAGCCTACATRCACAGGTTCAGAGCACTCTCCATCCACAATCACTTTCTGGTAACGTGTAGTTAGCCATGTCCTGATCCATTGCTGTAGTTGATATGGTAATCCATAGAGATTAAGCTTCATAAGTAAACGTTCATGCGGCACAKAGTCGAATGCTTTTTGAAAATCCAGTATTAGGAGATCTACTTGCATTCTGTCTTTCWTTGATCGGACAATATCATCAATTGCATTGATTAATTGGGATTCACAAGAGTGGCCTGAGCGAAAACCATGTTGGTAGTGAACAAGAATGTTGTTACGATCARGATGACTCATAATTTGGCTATATACCACATGTTCCATGATCTTACAAGAAATGCTTGTGAGGGATACAGGTCGATAATTTGCTGGATCAGAACGCGATCCTTTCTTGAAAATTGGAACAATGTTTGCTGACAGCCAATCACATGGTAAGACAGCACTTTCACTTATGACTGATTGAATATGAATGCAAGAATAGGTGCCACTTCATTTGCAGCCTCCTTTAGAACTCTTGTTGGTATCAGGTCTGGACCAACTGCCTTGTATGTGTTCAAGTTGGAGAGTAATTTCTGGACACCAGTTGTGGTTATCACAATCTCCTCCATTATGGGTATATTACTTGGTGGCAGGTTTGGTAAAGAGTCGAGATCCTCTTTAGTGAACACTTCCTCGGTACTGATTGCTGAGAATATCTGCTTTTGACTTACTATCAGATGATATTAGGCCATTAAATTTCAGCTGGGACACTCCAGTTTTATCTTTCCTCAAACCTTTGATATAAGACCAAAACCGTTTGGGCTTCTCATGTAGTGCAGAGGTGTTAAGGATTTCTTTGACATAGTTATCATGAGCCAATTGGAGTTCCTTTTTTGATAGATCTACGCAAGTCCTTGAAATTTTTCCAGTCTTCAGCTTTTCCAGACAACTTTGCCTTCTTATATCTACGATGCTTCTTTCTGATCATTCTCTTGAGTTCTTTTGACATATAGGTCAAAAGTCCCAACGTCCGTTAATTTTCTTCTTTGGGATGTGATCTAGAGCAGCTTGAGAGACAGCATCTTTTAAAGATTTCTAATTTTTTACCACAGTTCTTTCTTGGGGATTGGAGGCAAAGAAATTTTGTTGATATGAATTGAGATCAGCTTTAAGACCAGATCAATTCGCTTTACTGTAAAGACTTACAATTCGTGGTGGTTTCTTGTTGATCTTGGCCTTGATATCAATATCAGCGAGAACAATATCATGGTCACTCATACCAGGGCCAGTACGAACATCTGTAGCCAGATCAGGAGATGTAACAAACAATAG